GCTCTGTCTCTGGTGAAGCCTCTCACTGCCCCTGAGCCTCTGGCCTGTACCCCAGTTCTGTATGCATAAATAAATAAATCTTTAAAAAAAAATGTGTTAGGGCAAAGTCTGCAATATAAACTCCATCTCTGGTTCCTGCTGACCCAAAAGTACCCATATCCAGTAAGTGGCAGGTATTTCTGGCAGGAATTGGTTTGCTCATTGTCCTTGAAGCATAGCTATCTATCTCAGTGAGCTTATCTAATTTTGCCTGATGTTAAAAGGTATTTATATCACATGCAGAAATCATTTAATTCTCTCTTTCCTCAAATTTAAGGTCTTTCAGAGGTGGTGCAGTTAAGAAACCTTACTCTCCAAAAATACTATCCAACAAGAAGCCTTCTGCCTTCTCTGGAACCCCTAATGCCCATCATCCAGTGCAGCATCATGCCCCACATGCTTGGACCCGAAGGGGCCGGCTAAGAGAACTGCGTATCAGGTGAGCTTGTGAGTATAGTCAACTGCTGTAGGTGACTTTTCCATTGTTCTCCCTTTCGGGCTAAGGTAAGGCAAGATTCTTATTCTCTCTCAATTAGTTGGAGACATTGATGGCTGCTCATCAGAGCAGAATGTTTAGATAAAAAAAGATGTTCAAGGAAATGCAAATGAAATCTCTTACTGAGTAAATTTACATTCATGGCTTCCACAATGTGTCAACTATAAAGAATCTCCAAAAGTGGTCTAAACATGATCCAAGAACAGCTGTCACTTATAGTTACTCTTAATTAGGTCTGTCAAAAACATCCATTTATTCATTCAGTAAAAACTTATTAAATGACTATTCTGCCTAGTATTATGCTAGATACTGATTACCATGGTGAATAAAATCTCCCCGGTCCATGATTTCATGAAAGTAACATCGAATAAGCTTGACAGGTTATTAAACAAGCCACAACAGAGTGTTATAAGTGCTGTGAAAGTACCTGTGTGGCATGAATAGGCACACTGGTGTAGTCAGTGTACAGTTTAAGAAGTACAGTTTAAGCCGAGTTCTGAAGGGTAATGTAAGAATGTGCCACATAACAGACAAGCTGTCCATTTGGAAGAGCAATCCAAGGTGAGGTATGAGAGCAGTGAGAGGATTCACCAGAGACTGAGTGGGGAGCAGAACAGGTAGATTGACAAAGTACACTGCTGAGGGGAGCAGTGGGCGAGAGAGGAGAAGTCTGCTGTGCCATGTGGGTCACCTCCCTGGCCAGGGATCAAACTTGTGCTGAAGCAGCTGCGGCCAGCTTTGTAGTGCTGTGCTTTAACCCATTGAGCCACCAGGGAGGGCCCAAAGTTATTTTTAAAAAGTAATTTATAAACCTGTTGTCATCTTATTCTGGGTGATGGAAGACTAATTTTAAGTTACCTTTTGACTCATATTAGCATCTCTCTCCCTGAGATTTTAAAATTCCCTCTCCTTTCCAAAAAAAATGATGATATAAACCAAATTGAAAGTGTCTGATGTTTGAGAGGCTAGCTCTTTGGAGCTCTCCCCTGTGTGTTCTCAGTTGCAAGACACAGCCACCTCAGGGTACAACAACAGGGTTTATTCACAAAGGGGGCCCTGAGATAAGGAAAGAGTTCCTAAGCCCACAGTGGCCAGCTGTCCTGCCACTCAGATGGCAACCACACTGTCCATTAGTCTGAACCAAAAATTGCTTGTGCAAGATGGTGCTGTACTTCCGAAGGGAGCCTGGAACTGGTGGCACACAGATAAGTAGTAAGTAGACCAGGATCCAGCTAGTCTGTGAGTCAGGGTGGTCACAGGTGCTACAGAGGCAGCACTGTGCAGCGCCTCTCCTGGAGCCCAAGTCAAGTCTCCTCCTGAAACTTCCCTCAGATCAAGTCGAGCCTCTCCTTTAAAGCTGCCTCTCTTGATTCTGTCTGAAAGCTGAGTCAACCTGCGCTTCTGTCTTCCTTCAGGTCACCCGCCTTTCAAATCTGATAGTCCATTTTCTAAACTGTTTCCAAAAATTGCTTAGTGCCAGGACAAACTTGAAACTAATTGGTGCCACTGAGAGTTTGGACACTTTCAAAAGCACCTCAGGATTCAAAACCAAAACCCTAGTAGTGCATTTTGTCTGCCCTGCACTGTCTCATGCTGGAGCCGGCCAGATATGCTGTGCTGTGTCTGAATGGTGCTGGCCAGGTTCAGACCTGACTTAAGTGTCTCCAAACTGCCATGGATTTTTTCTTTTTTTTTTTTTTCTCCTAAAACCCAAATATGGATGTGCTAGGGTCTGTCAGCTGTCGAACTTGGCTACCATGACATGGTCCAGGCTAATGCCATGCAGCTGGAGGCTGGAGGGTTGCTGTTGCAAAGTCAAGTTGTAAATTGTACATATCATCTTTCCTTCTTTCAGATGTGTGGCCAGAAAATTCTTGTATTTGTGGATTCGAATAACTTTTGGAAGAGTATGTCCTTCTAAAGCCAGGTAATATTTGCCCAGAATATCAAATGTCTGCTGAACTTACAGGTTTTTGTTTTTATTAAGTCCTTGTATAACCTTTATTCGGGCATGCGTTCCATTCCTCCCCTGTCTCTCTCCCAGGAGACGTGCAATGTAATGGTAACTGAATACTTACTAGTTTGAATAAATGAGTATATGAAGGAGTCATAAGTAAACCAAACAACTGAGCCCCTGGCGGTGGGGCAGTGTGAAAGCATTTGCCCAGAAGTAAATGAATTCTTTCAGAAAACTGTCAAAACTGACAGATTTATTTGATATAGCATAGCACTTGGGGGTAAAGTTGATGCTAGCAAGAGGAATGAGAGATTTTAGTGAGGAGCAAGGCCCTCTGCGTGACTTCACTGTGTAGCGGTTGCTGCCCACTGTGGTATGGTGAGAATGGCTATGTAATGGCAGAGTGTGAGCTGCAGGGAGCCACCGTGCATGTGTGAGGAGGGAGATGGGCCCCTGAGGGCGTGCGTGTTCCCCAAAGACAAACAGCATGGCTTCTGCCCTCCTCCCTTTAGTTTATCCCTACTGAAACCTTTTCAGTTTTCATTTTCCTGAAAGTATGGCTTTCCTGATCTGGCATATAACCCAGGGTGTCTTGACTCAAGGTCTCTCAAGCAGGTTTGTTGTTCTCTGAGATTTTTTTCCTCTGGGTGCCTTGTAAAGGGCCCAGTTTTCACCAGCACAGTTCCAGCGTGGTTGCAGGATGCCCAGATGCAGGCTCTCGGCAGAGTTCACCTCTGCTCTTCTTCTGGAGTTCGACCTCAGTGTTCCTTACCACCCCATCGTTCTTCTGTGCCTTCAAATATCTATGTGTTTTATATAATTCTTTTTGGTCCTGCTTTTCTTGTTTTCAGAGAGAGAATTGATCTGAACTACCTAGTTTGCCATTATCAGAATTCTTTTATTCAGTTGAGTGTAGTATAGTTAGTATAGAAGTTATATACTCTTATTGTTTTTTACTGATGCCATAAAGACAATATCTTTATTATTTTCTAAAGACTTATGTATTCATATAAGAACTGGGATACGGCCCTCCCTGGTGGCGCAGCGGGTTAAAGCACTGTACTAAGTTCTGCATGAGTTCGATTCCCGCCTGCCCCAGAGGTGACCACCTGGCGCAGCAGACCTCTCCTGACACGCCTGCTGCTCCCCTCAGCAGTGTACTTCGTCGATTTGCCTGTTGTCTCTGGTGAAGCCTCTCGCCGCCCCTGAGCCTCTGGCCTGTACCCCAGTTCTGTATGCACAAAAAAAAAAAAAAAAAAACTGGGATACAACCAGAGTTGGGGTGGGGTGGGTTAGAGGATTCACCAGAGACAGAGTGGGGAGCAGAACAGGCAGATTGGCTGAGATACAGTGCTGAGGGGAGCAGCGGGCGGGACAGGAGAGGTCTGCTATGCCATGTGGGTCAGCTCCCTGCTGCAGTGGCTGCTGATAGTTTCATAGTGCTGTGCTTTAACCCCTTGCACCACCAGAGAGGGCCTATTTCTCAATTTTTAGGAATGCTAGAGGGGAGTGATAACATATTAGAAATAGCATTATAATGCGAATAATGCCTGTATATGCTTGGAGGATATTTAACTTTTATAAATGGAAATTGTTTTATTATTAATAAATGAACCAAATGAATTGGTTGAACAAAAGTAATACAATGTGTGTCTGAATATAACACAGCCTGAAACACGGGGTACTTGCCTAGCTTTCTGAAAAGAAGAAATGAAGTATTTTTTGGCTAACTTTGGAAATAGTTATCAGTTACATCCTTTGACAGTGTTGAATTCATTAACATTTTTTCTTTATTCTTATTTAAAGGTACTGCTTCCTATTTTCTTGAGAAAATAGGAGACCTCCACAAGTTCCCTTTTCTACCCACCACCATCACCCATTGCTGCTTTTCCTACTGTTCCCTGGCTGTGCTCTTGTCTGTGGCAAAATCCTTGACTTTTGCACTGTATTTCCTGCATGCCTACTGAAGGACACCCCTTTGTGTTTTGTTTTTGTCTTTTTTTTTAAAGATTATTCATGCATACAGAACTGGGGTGCAGGCCAGAAGAGCGGGGGGGCAGTGAGAGGATTCACTGGAGACAGAATGGGGAACAGAAGAGGCAGATCGATGAATTACACTATGAGGGGAGCAGCGGGCGGGTCAGGAGAGGTCTGCCTGCCATGTGGGTCACCCCTGCCCTGAGAACGAACTTTCGCTGAAGCAGCTGCCGTTAGCTTCACAGTGTACTTTAACCGGTTGTGCATTTCTCTTTCATGCATCAGTTTTTCCCTCTTTACTGGAACATTTATGCCAGCATTTAATGCTACTATCATTTTTCCCCCCATCCTAAAAGAATATCTCGGACCTGCAGCTAACATTCTCCTGTTACTCCCCTTTGTGCCAAATCTCTTGTGCATACTCTATACCTCTTCTAAGTTTTCCTTAAATCCATCCAACAAGGCTTTGGATTCCAACAACACTTTTTGTTGAGGCCACTAAATTTGCTTAAAACAGTGGTAAATTCTTAAATTTTCTTGCTCATCATTTCCTTTCTCAAGAACCCCTTTATTGTCCCCGCTTCCAGGTTGCTGTCTCCTCCTGATTTCCCTCCTCCTCCAACTGCCCCTGCTAACTCTTTTGTTGGTTCCTCCTCATCGAGACACCGCCCGCCCGCCCGCCCGCCCGCCCCGTTCTTGCATTGCCTCTTTTTCTACCTCACAGCCTTTGCCATCTTCAGATTTCAAGGTGATTCCCAAAGGTATTCACTCAGCCCAGCCCAGCCCTCGCCCTTTGGATGATTAAGCCTGCTGTGTACATGACAGCGACATCATGTGTCTAGTAGATAGCACACCTTAACATTTAAAACAGAAATCTAGACTTCTCCCCACAAACCTCCCAACTGACTCTTCCCCCTTCTAGCTAATAGCAACTCCCACCCATCTAGGCACAGGGCTCAGAAAGCTAGGAGTCGTTCTTGATTCTTTTTGTTCTCTCACACCCCAATTTAAAAGCCAGTGCCAAAATTACATTGATTCAAACTTCACAGTATATTCAGACTCCAACCTCTTCACCACCTTCAGTTGCTACCACCCTGCTCTCAACCATTATCACATCTCCCACCACTCCCTTAACCTCCTCACTCCTTCCGACTTTGCCCTTGGTCTCTGCTCGGGAAGGCCTGAGTGAATCAAGTCACATCATTCTGCTCAGCCTTCTCATCCTGCTGACTCTGTCCTGTGGCCTGCAAAACCAACTAGCTTCTTGTTTCGCCTATCTGTAGATTTTTCTTCTTTTTTTTTAATAAAAAAAAAAAAGATTTATTTACTTATGCCTATGATAACTGGGTGTAGGCCAGAGGTGCAGGAGGTAATAAGATTCACCAGAGACAAAGTAGGAAGCAGAACAGGTGGACTGACTGAAACACACTGCTGAGGAGAGCAGCAGGTGAGACAGGAGAGGTCTGCCACACCATGTGAGTCACTCCCCGGCCTGAGGTGGAACTCATGCTGAGTGTTGGTGACAGCTTGGTGGTACTGTGACTTAACCGCTGTGTCACCAGAGAGGCCCCGTCGGTCTGTTTTTCATTTTTCTCTTATACTTTTAATTTTTAATACCTCTGTTTTGTTCTCTGTTCTTTTTATTATTGTTAAACAGCATCCTGGAGGTCTATAATTGTTTGAAGTTAATGTAGTGATATTTTTGCTAAGATTTTTGCTTGATCATACTGTCTTTGTGTGTGTGCTTTTGTTCACTGTCTCAGGTGATAAGAAATCTTTTCATTGTCTTTTTTTTTGCAGTTATACATTAAAACACTAACTTTGGCAGTTTTCATATGCATGCAGAGGGACTTGTATATTGAGGGCTTCATTTTAGGCATTTGAGGCAGAGGCCAGGCAATTTCACTGGGGGTCCTCCATCTGCCGTTATCTGAACGCCTTTTCCCGAGGTTGAGCAGTTCTCCCCAGAGGAGAGGAGTACCTCTCAATTCTTTCTGGGGCTCGGTGGGTTGGGGTGGCCTGGGTTCTATGTTTAATAGCAGGCAGCGGGGAGGGAATGTGTGTCCTATTGTTCCTTATGTGATTTGTGGTCTAGCAGCTCCTCCAGAGCTTCGCCTGGTATTCCAGTCTTGTGCCCTACTGGCTCTCCTCTCCATGTCCAGTGTCTTATTGCTTCTTGTAAGCCTGCATTTTTGTCTGCATTCAGGGCTCCCCCATCCTGAGGCTTCTCATTCCTCTGCCTTTCTGGAATGCTCCCTCTGGTGTCCCCAGCTGGTTGTTCTTGACTTCTCCCTCACAGGACACTTAGCTCTGGGTTGCTGCTCCTTTGCCTGCTTTCCAGCGTTGGAGACAGTTGACACCTCTTGTCCATCATCGTTGATCCTATTCTCTTGTCTTTGCGGGAGTATAGCTTGTGAAATGTGCTCATTGTTACTGAGGTGGATTTGTGAAAGGGAAGCTAGATGGGTGTGTTCATTCCAACATGTGCAAGATGGAAGTGGCTTTTTTTCATTAATTTTTTAAAAATTATGAACAAAACTTTCAATTTTTTTTCATATGACAGAAATGTGTAATGTAGGAAATACTAGTCTCCTATAATCCCTCCTTGAGAGAGAGTGCTTGATGTTGATTTGGTTCTCTGTATTTTGTTCATGACTTTGACTGTGTATAATATAATCATTTGTATTTGTATATGCTTATGTGTTTCTATATATGTAAATGCGTATGTATGTGCTTACACTTTGCATATGTTTGTAAATAATATGTACATATGTGTTTGGTTATATTAATTCCAACATAGATTCTGGAAGTACAGAAACATTTATACATATATACACATATACATACACATATATACCATGAGATCACTTTTTCACTTTACAACTTTCAGAGCACCTCTATAGTTCATTACCCAAGGCTCTACTTCACGCATAAAACATATCTGCATGGCAGTAGTTGAATTTAACCTTTACTCTTTTGATGGGCTTTTTTTTTTTTTGGTGTTTCTTTTTTTAAAAAAAAAATATGAACAATGAAAAGCCCTTTCCTATGTATATCTTTGCAGACCAGACCAGGTTTTAAAAACTGAATGGGTTCAGGGGAGGGACGTGTTAGTAACCTACAGAATCATGAAAAGCAATTCAGAGAGACCGACAGGACCAGTCAGCTTGCTGGGGTCTTGTTAACAGCAACACAGGCTGTCACTGCTCTTCTATTTTCTTATTGCCTTTTCCTCTTCTTTATTTTCTCTTGTTTTCTTTTGCTGTTACAACCATCACAGGCAGATTTCAGCTAAACTAATGTGCTTTGTTTCTGTTAAGTACTAGGAATACCATTAGGCATTTATTTTATAATTTTCAACATCCTGTGTATGTAAAAGCTGTTACTTTTTACTAATAAAAAATAAGTTTCAGTCTGGTGAATGAAAGAAATTGGGAATGATAATTCAAAACTTACAGTATGTGAAAAATAAGATTTTTATTTCACGTTAACAGTTTTATTTAGTAATATCTGTAGTGTAACCCTTTGAACACCATTTCTAGTTTACTTGTCTCTAAGGTTTTAACCTAAAAAGCTACTTGATGTCACCAAACAATGGACTATGCTTTTCTGTAGGAAGGCAATGCAAATCGGACTATCACTTGCTAACAGCGGTGCAAATATCATGAACCTCTGATTTTTTTCATTGCCCTAGGTTTTACTATGAACAAAGAGTACTACGAAGAATCTTTGAAGAATGGAAAGAAGAGTGGTGGGTTTCCCATCGAGAATGGAAACTCTGCATTAGAGCTGACTGTCACTACAGGTCAACTTTCCTGTTTTATTTTTTGAATTTTACAGATAACTATTACCAACTAATTATTAGCATGTTTCAAATAAGCATGTTTCAAATTCCTTTAATTTATATTAATTAGGGTAGAAAGTATATGCCTGGTATGTCTATGTTTCTATACATGTGTAGTTATATCTAAAGAAAATAGAAACGTAAGGAAAGAAACTCTTAATACTTGACGTTAGAATTCGCAGAGCCAAGTAGAAAGAAAATTGAGAATTGTATCAAAAATGCATTTTAGATCATTTTAAAAATAAAAAATAAACTTTTTGTCTTTAAAATGGATTCATTCTTGGTCATTTTAGTTCACTTCTTTGGGCAAGTTTCTGATTTATGGATATTCAGATAAAATACAAACATCGAATAGTTCTAAGGTTATAGAGTGAAATCAAGTCATAGGAGTGGGATAGTGAATATATGGAGCGACATGGGGTTGTAGTGTGTTTATCAAGAGGGAATAGACACAGAAGAGTTACTGTGGACTGTGTTTTAGTGCAAGGGAGCAGTGCATGACATTTTATAGTGTGGATGATTAAGACAGAACTGTTATTCCAAAAGTTATTCTTGGAGAAATTGAGCTTTTCTTCCTCAGTGATGCCATCAGATGCGGAAATTAGGTTTCACCATGATCATTGGAAAGAAAATTTTAACTTAGTATGTAGATACGGCTTTTTGCATCAGAACATCCAAGTTAACGTCTTCCGTGTATAGAGTGAACTGGGTGTGGAGGATTAGAAGTTGTTCTGTTTTAAAGAAATGTCATTTTTCTTTTGGCTTCTCAGATATTCCTTATACAACCTGATGTTCCAAGCCTGGAAATCCTACGTGCATGCACAGCACGAGATGAGGAGCAAGTACCTGAGAGCTGAGAATCATGGTAAGAAAAAGTGCATGTCTGAAGAAATTGCTCACTTTAGCTTTATGTCTTTGTTTTACCTAGCATAATCCGTTACCATTCATGTTCTTGCAAATGGCAATCTTTTTTATAGTTGAGTAGTATTACATTGTGTATATATATATAATACCGCTTCTTAGTCCACTGCTCTGTTCATGGGTATTTAGGTGATTTCTATAACTTGACTACTGTAAATAGTGCTGCAGTGAGCACAAGGAGAGCAGATACCCACAGCCTCACTGGATGTACACTTCTGTGGCAGGTGCCATGATTTTGGCACTTACCCCTCATTGAAGCATAATTGGTGTGAAATGCTTATTCTTCCCTACTGATCAGCATGTTGGCTGGTTTCTTGTTTTCTGGTGTCCAAGTTTTGCAATGCTCCCTACTGATCTGCCTTGCCCAAGTTGTCTTGCGGCCAGGTTAGCTCTGTTCAGTGTCTGATTCCTCTGTGAGTTGAGTTAGAAACCCACATGGGTAAGACAGAGTTCCAACATGATAATGCACCTTGCATTAGCAGTTGTCTTAGAACCATTGCATGTGTGTGAGGTCTTGCGGGCACCTCAGACTCAGCAGTTCACACATTCAGCCGAGGTCATCTTGCCTGCTGTTAGACCTACGCATTCTCTTTCTTTTCTTAATGAAATGATGAAGGTTGCTGTGTATTCCTTACTTAGGAATGTCTTTTTTTTTTTTTTTTAAGATTTATTTATTTGTGCATACAGAACTGGGGTACAGGCCAGAGGCTCAGGGCGGCGAGAGGTTTCACCAGAGACAGAGTGGGGAGCAGAGCAGGCAGATCAACGAAGTACACTGCTGAGAGGAGCAGTGGGCGGGTCAGGAGAGGTCTGCTGCGGGGTCACCTTTGGGGCAGGTGGGAATCGAACTCATGCTGAAGTGGCTTTAGCTTCTTAGTGCTATGCTTTAACCTGCTGCGCCACCAGGGAGGGCCCGGAATGTCTTATCTTAAATAATGGCATAACTCATCATTCAATTTTATATGCTTAGAAGATGTCCCTCTATGGTATCACTTGCATTCATCTTTTTTTTTGCCATTACCTGAGATAAATCCTCATCCTTTTGTCAAAGTATTATGTATAACTCTTCTTTCATCTTCTTGCCTTAATTTTCTCCTTCTCACTGTATACATAGCAACAAGAGTGGAAAGATAGGTAAGATCATGTTACTCCTATGCATAAAAATTAATTTGGTTCCCCTTGCTTATAAAGGCAACACACCTTGGTATGACATACAAAGGCCTCTATTGCTGTGCCTCTCCATATGCCCTTCCCCAGAGCCTCACTGGATACATCCACTTCCAGATCATCCCATCTTTGCCGCTGCGTTCCTTTGTCAGGTCCTTTAAATGTCACCCTCCGGGGCCTCCCTAGTGGTGCAAGGAGTTGAGTACAGCAAAGCTATCCACAGCCACTGCAGCATGAGTTCGATCCCCAGCCAGGTTGCTGACCTACATGGCTCAGCAGACTTCTTCTGTCTGCCCTGCTGCTCCCTCAGCCTGCCTATCTGCCCCTCATTCTGTCTCTGGTGAATCCTCTCGGCTTCCCACACCTCTGGCCTGTACCCCAGTTCATGTATGTATAAATAAATAAATCTTAAAAAACCAGTCACCTTCTCCATATGGCTTTCTCTCCTCACCCCCAGCGTGTGGGTTTTTCCTTCTGTTTGTGTTCCCGGAGAGTCAGAAGCCCTTACCCAGTTGCCTTGGCTATAGCCCAGACAATTGTTTAACTGGTAAATAACTTAATTTTTATTTGTTTGTTTGATTTGTTAATTCACACATGTTAAGATTCACTTTTTCTGGGTGCATTTTTATTAGTTTTGAGAAATGTACAAATCAATCAAGAGAGAACAGTTCCATCATTTCTGATAGAATTTTCTCCTTCTAACCTTCTGCAGTGTTCTTTCCTCAATTCCTAGCACACAATGATCAGTGCTCCATCACTGTAGATTTTTGTTTTCTAGAATGTTACATAAAGGGAGTCATGCAGTATGTATCCTTTTGATCCTGCCTTTTATTCAAATAATGGGTTTGAGATTCTTTAAGCTGTTGCATGTGTTAGAAGTCCATTCTTTTTTATTACTGAGTATAACTCCATTATTTGGATGTGCCAAGGTTTGTTTATCCATTCACTGACTGAAGCATATCTGTGTAATATCCAATTTTAAAGTTAGGCATAAGTTGCTGTACACATTTGTGTATACATTAAATTCTCTTTCATAATTTGTCAACAATCTGAATATGAACTGCAGCTGTATTCCTTCTGACCACATTTTAGAGAACGTCCTCAAAATGAATTAAATAATTTTATTTTCTCCTCTGTGTTCTAAAAAGACATTTTCTTCATTAGTGATGACTTTCATAATAAAGTGAAATTCATCCCACAGGTAGCCCTGTTGACCTTTGCAGCTCCCATATCTACTTACTGGTCTTTCTTTCTGGCCCTTTTTGTTCTATTTCACAAACAAATACAAACACATATAGGTTGTATCCTTATATTTTGTCTTGCTTATTCTAGAGGTTTCCCTCAGTACCTATGGGGACTCTTGATAGCAGGGTCCCCCCCCCCACAGATATCAAAACCTGCAGATGCTTACGTCACATGTAAAATGGCGGTTTTTGCATATAACCTATACACATCCTCCCATATATTTTAAATCATCTCTAGATATACTAGCGGGTACAATGTAAATGTTATGGAAAAGTTGCTATGCTGTATTATTTAGGAAATAATAACAATGTTATAAATACAGCTATCAGTCTGCACAGACATATGCATCTTTGATTTGTGGTTGATTAAATCTGCAGTTGCAGAACCCACCAGTAGGAGGTGCCAACTGTACTTTACAATCATTGTTTCAAGTGGCAAGTTTTATAACATTTCTTCTAACTTTGTTATGCAAATTAGTTTTTTAAAATTCTACAGCACTAAAGGAATAATGATCCTTCATGTACCCCTCCTCCAGCTTCAGCCATTACCAACCACACCACTCTATCTCCTCTCACTTCCCTGCCTTCTGCATTATTTCCATTATTTCATCTGTAAATATTGCAGAATATAGCTCTTAAAATTAGGCACTTTTAAAATACAGGCATTCTGAACTATGCAGGACAGCGATTTTGATTCAGATGATTTGTAGATATCATCACTTTTGTGATCATGTTGCATGTGTGCTTGCATCCTTATCTTTGTAGAGCTTCACACCTTTTCCAGCAGGGGGCACTTGAAGTCTGGAGGAATTTAGGATATTCTAGGAGAGATGAGCACAGAGAGAAGCTTTGCATTTTTATAGCAACTCAGAGTAATACATCTCTCCCCACCCCATTTTGAAAATCTCTTTGGTGCATCTAGATGGAAAGCAAAAGATGCGGCGGGCCTGGAAGTCTTGGCTGATATACGTGGTTTTCCGTAGGACCAAATGTCAGATGCACACAACTGCCCTGGAGTTTAGGCAGCGGAGTATTATGTGGTGAGTGTGCTCAGTCATCTGACACATCATTCTGCCTCAGCTTTGCTTGTTCTGCTGGAAAACAGTGAAATAATTAGCCTTAAAACAATGTTTTAGACATATAAATACTTATTGTAACTTGTTCAATTATAACATCAGATTTTAATTAATTGTCACATCACATTTTCATGATTAATGCTAGTTGAATACTTACTATGTTCTAAGCCCTGTGCTAAGTTTGGTATGTGATAATTTTTTAATATGTGTTTTAGTAATCTTGCCACAAATTATAAAGTAAGTACTCGTGTACAGGTTAACGGAGACAGTCTCAGAAAATTTGAGCAGCTTGCCTGCGTGTCTGTAAGCTGTACTTGGTAAAAATCAAAGCCCAAGTGCCCATCTAATGCCAAAGCCCATGCCCTAAACTGCTGCCTGCTGCACCTCTTCAGCATTGTCCACACGTTGGAGGGACATGAAGGCCAGAGATACCTTATAATGGGGCCGACTCAACTCTACATTGTGTCTGGCAGTCCCCTAGGGGCCTTTAAAAAAAAATATTTGTGCATGCATGCAAGAGCTGGGGTATAGGACAGAGTTGGGAGAGTGGTGGGAGGGTTCACCAGAGATAGAGTGGAGAGCAGAACAGGCAGCTGTACTGAAATACACTGCTGAGGAGAGCAGCGGGCAAGATAGGAGAGGTCTGCTGCACCATGTGGGTCAGCTCCCTGGCCAGGGATTCAACTTATGCTGCAGTGGCTGCAGAGAGCTTCATAGTGCTGAGACTTAGCCCCTTGGCCACCAGGGAGGCCCTCCCTCTGTGTCTTTAATGGCAGCATTGTAAAAGCTCAGTTCCTGCAGAAAGAACTGGGCTCCATGTATAGTAAAGATAATAACAGAGCCTTCCTTAGTAGCTGTGACTTGGCTTTAAGTCCTTATTACAGCATGTATTACGTGTCACTTCATCTCTCCATCTCTATCTTTATCTGTTAAATATGCACACCATTAAGTATCTCTTTCTTTCTGTGTTTCATGGGAAATAAGTTAGGTATAGATGTACTTCAGAGATATTGTGGGTTCCATTCCAAACCACCACAGTAGAGTGAGTCATATGAATTGTTTTGTTTCCCAGAGCATATGAAAGTTATGTTTTCACTAGTGTTGAGTAGCTAAATGGTGCAATAGTGTTTTGTCTTAAAAAAAATGCCTGCTTAATTAAATTATTAAAATGTACTTTATTGCTAGAACATGCTAAAACCATCATCCAGCCTTCAAATCATTCTTTTGCTGGTGTTGGGGGTAGATCTTATAAAAAATGCAATATCTGGGGCCTTCCTGGTGACACAATGGGTTAGGACGTAACCGCTTCAGTGTGAGTTCGATCCCTAGCCCCAGAGGTGACCCACATGGCACAGCAGATCTCTCCTATCTTGCCCGCTGCTCCCCTAAGCAGTGTTTTGTTGATATGCCTGTTCTGCTTCCCACTGTGTCTCTGGTGAATCCTCTCATGGCCCCTCCCCGCCACCTCTGACCGTATCCCAGTTCTACACGCATAAGTAAATAAATTTTTAAAAAATATCTGCTGAATAAATCTTAAATAACCCAAGAAAATTTTAAACAACTTCTTCATGTAAACTGATGTTTTGGATACTGTACTAAACATAGATATCACAGGCATACATCCTGCTGTGTTTTACAGACATTGCTCTTATTTTTGTAAAGAAGTTTTAAATAGACTTTTACATAGAAGAACTGAGGTACAGGACAGGGGGATGAGAGGATTCACCAGAGACTGAGAGGGGAGAAGAACGAGTGGATCTACTGAAACACACTGCTGAGGGGAGCGGTGGGCGAGACAGGAGGTGTCTGCCTTGCCATGGGTCGGTTCCCTGGCTGGGGATGGAACTTGTGTTGCAGCAGCTGCAAATAGCTTCATAGCACTGATACTTAACCCCAGGGACAGCCCCAGCAGCTATTTTTCAATGCTTAATAAGTATGTAGTTCTACTAGAGTCTATGGGAAATATTTATTCACTGTTTGAACTGTTCCTGGTAATATTTGGGGGATTTATAATTCCCTAAGTGCTTAAAATGCTAAGTAATAATGCAAGATATTTTGAAATGAGTGATTGATCCCATTAGCACGATTGAGGTTAAGAAGAAAAAGAAATTGTAGGTACCGTGACCAGGCAAAGTGAGTGTTTCTGTAAAGTGGAGGCTGCAAACTCTCTCTTGCCTGTTACTGGTTTCCTATAGAAAATTAGAAAATAGGGCCCTCCCTTTTTTTGCAGTTTGTGAAATCTCCTGGTTTTTAAGTGTTGGCAATAATTTATAAGAAAACAAACAGCAAAACTGGCAGTGCAGGCATGTGTCTAAGACTGGAAACTGAGCCACCAGTTTCCCACCGTTAACTGGCAGCTGTAGGGCTCTTTCTCAGTTGCTCTCCAGCGTTGACTCTAGCAGGTGGTCATTGAGAGTTGACATGAGGGAGAGGGACGAGAACTGTAAGGCTGAGGCCAGCCCGCACTGCCCTTATCTTTTCTGGGTGGCTTTTATTTTATCTCTCTCATCTTCAGTTTGTTCTTCAACAGGGTATGTTGGCGCGAGTGGAAGTGGGGATTGGAACAGCTTCGTGTGCGCAGTGCCCTCCATGCCTCGGCCGTGAAGCACTGGGCCCTGAGCCTCCAGCTGCAGGTAGGCCCAGCAGACCCAGCTTGGTTTCCTCTGTGCATGCTGTCAGACCCGCATCCACAAAGGGTGGGGTCAGATTCCCAAGCAGGAGACTGGCAGTCACCTGCTGCCTCTCGGTTGGACCCTCAGGGACCTACGTGGGGCGGGAGAGAAACTGCGCGACTGCTGTCAGGAATATGCTAGATGTGACGGCCAGTGGCTTTTAGAGAACTGCCGGTGATGGAACTGGAAAGCGATTTAGGAATTCGATTTAAATGTGTCTAAAGGAATAACATATGTTCTTACCTCCTCATTACTGTTTACCTACAGCAAATTACAGAATAAGAGCAGAAAAGAAACAGACTGAAAAGAAAACCTGACTTCTTTTCATAAAGTTTTGCTGGTAGAGGTTTCTTTTGGGGAAGCCACTAGCTTTTGGTCAGTTTTAAGACCTAATCTCAGTTCCAAAACTGTACTGTGGTAAAACTTCCTAATGCTGATAGATGCTAAATTGATAGGTGCTCAATTTCTGTCACAGTGGGAGAGCCCTCTTGATGTTTTTTGACGTGTTTTTATTTAATGATGCCTCCTTTTCGTACAGGTAGCGCTAATTTCAGAATGATCACATTTATTCTTTTTTTCTTATGGTTTGGTCTTAAATATATCATAGGTTTGATTTTATTAATTGTGTAAAATGGGGTCTTTGTCACTTTTCCATATGGATAATCAATTGCCCAACATTATTTACTAGTAAGGTCATCCTTTGACTTTTTTCACACTGATTATTACTAATCCTACATTATAAATCAAGGTCTCCTTTACCTTGTTGTAGGCTCTCTGTTTCATTGGTATATTTGTCTATTTCTGAGCCAGTACCACTTTTTTTAATTACAGTTTTATGATGCAGATAAGAAAGAGTATAGGTTCTCTAGTCAGAATGCCTAGGTGGAAATTCTAAGCCTAACCTAGTACTGTTGTGCCTTTGAATTAGTTATTTAACCTGCCCATACCTTAAATTTCTTACCTGTAAATAGATAATAGTACCTGCCTCCTAGTATTGCTGAAGACTAAGTGTGATGAGACAGGTAACAGCCTAGAGCAACACTGAACTGTGGAAATGGTCAGTAAGTGCTCACTGTGTATTCTAGGCCTACTCTTCTTTATGGCTTTTGAGTCTACACATAGAAAGGAATTGCCTATATTTTGGTTCATTTAAAAAAATGCTTTAGGTAGTCTTTTTTTTTTTTTTTTTTTTTTTTTTTAAAGATTTATTTATGCTTACAGAACTGGGGTACAGGCCAGAGGTGTGGTGGGTGAGAAGATTCTCCAGAGACAAAGTGGGGAGCAGAACAGGCAGATCTACTGAAATACTCTGCTGAGGGGAGCAGCAGGTGGGTCAGGAGTGGTCTGTCACACCATGTGGATCAGCTCCCTGGCCTGGGATCCAGCTCATGCTGCAGTGGCTTTGGAGAACTTCATAATGCAGTGCTTTAATCCATTGCAGCACCAGGGAGACCCCAGGTAGTCTTTTTTACCTACTATTTTTAGAAATGATTTGTCAAGCTCCATAACAAAGCCTACTAGGATTCCTATTATAATACAGGGACTACATTAGGTCGACAGACACTCATGTATCTGACTGTGAGAGGGAAAGCAGGCAGGATTGGTGGTGAGGTGAAGGAGGAGGCATGTTGCAGTGCATTAGACTGTGCCGGATGAGGGCTTTGACTCTTCCTCCAGGGGGGTGGGGGGGAGCCACTGGTTTTGAGTGGAAGACTGATAGGATCACACCTGCTTCTTAACAGGATCCCTCTAGCTCATTGTGTGCTGCCTTTGGGTTAAGAAAGGGAGAGAGATGAGTGTGGGAGAGGGGGAAGGAGGGAACAGTGTGGGAACAAAGTACTTCTGTGAACCTCCGCTGTCACATTGTTTTAACTATGAAACCACTAACTATTTTAGGTAATTAGAAAACAAAAGTAAATCAAAAAAGAAGAAAAGGCAATCCCTACAATTTTAAAACACTCTGAAACAAGCATACCAAGTTGGAAGCAATGACTACACAGAAAATAACTCAAGTAACGTTAAAAGACAACATTGTGACTGTTTGTCCCTTAGGATGTATCCTAAGGACACAAAGAAGTGCTAAGAAATCTAAAACTGCATTCAGTAGTCTTATTGTCAGTAACAGCTTTGGAATTGTTCTGTTGAAACTCTTACAGCTACATTGTAAGAAAAAGCAAATAACTATGTCATTAGGAATCAGATTTCAGAGTAAAAACAAAGGTTATAAGTACAGAAGTAAATAAAAGCCTTGTAAATCTAAATTTGGACACGTAAATATCATTACCAATTTTTCTTAATCTTAAAAATGTCTAACTCTTTATTTGCTGAAAAGTCTTAGAAGTGGTGCCAGTAGGGTAACACTGGGGAAGTTATCTGTGGCATCTACTGTTTCCACTGAAAGGAACTGAGCCTTTTGGAGAAATCACTGATTCCAGCTCTAGAATTGGAAATAAGACATCATCAACCTAAGATATAGTGTGCTGGAAAGCAGTGAACAGAGTTGTGTCAGAAGAACTTGAGAACCAATGACTGATAAGCTTAAAATAGAATAGTTTGACTATCAAAAAGTATAATGGTGGCACATTGGGTTGGAGCACGCAATGTGAAACTGGCTGTGGCCATTTTCAGTGTGAGCTCGATCCTGGCCCCAGAGGTGACTCACATGGCGCGGCAGACCTCTCCTGACCTGCCCACTGCTCCCCTCAGCAGTGTACTTGGTCAATCTGCCTGTTCTGCTCCCCACTCTGTCTCTGGTGAATTCTCTCACAGACCCTCCACCTCTAACCTGTACCCCAGTTCTGTATGCATCAATAAATCTTTTTTAAAATAAAAGTATGATGACTGAAATAGATTGAAAGCATATCAAATACATGAAAATTCATAGATTCATAATTACAAAGAAAGGGAACTCATTGGTGATGAGTTAGAGCATTCAGTGCTTTAAGTGAGAGCAAAAATCAAGCAATTATCCTGTCTTTGCTATATAAACTGCATCTCTAAAACCAGAGGGTTAATGAATAGGCTTATTTATAGAATTGTAGTCAATAAACGAGGAAGTAGTGCTAGAAGCTGAAAAACAATCCACTATGTGAGAAGATGATGGGGAAATACACAGGAGAGATTGGGCTGACAGCCTGTGAAGCCACAGAACAATCAGGGCTTTGCTAGACTGTGGCAGACAGCCCTGATGTGCGGCACGGGCCGTAGTGGGACGTATCCTGCACTGCTGGGTTGTGTTATTGCCTAAAGATTTGAACATGACTCCACCAAGCCTAACAGTTTAAGAAATATATGAATCAGGACTGAGGGAAAGACTCCTTGAGGAGATGATCACTCAACATTTAAAGAGGCTGGTGATTTGAAAGGGGGGGAAAGACAGGGAGAAAGATTATCATATGAAAAGGAGAGATTTTAGTGACTAACAACCAAAAAAGGATCACTCTGGATGCTGTGTTAAGAATAGGCCATTTTGTGCCCTGGAGGTGACCACCTGGTGTGGCAGACCTCTCCCGTTGCTCCCCTCAGCAGTGTACTTCCTCGATCTGCCTGTTCTGCTCCCCACTCTGTCTCTGGTGAATCCTCTCACCCTCCGCATCTCTGGCC